AGGAACTAGGTGAACCAGGACAGAGGCTGCAAGTTCTAGGCAGCTGTGACAGGGTGGGAGAAGAGGCTTTTATAGGACCCCAGGGCCACTATGGACATGCTGGACAACACAAATAGGAAACCCAGGCCCTGTGGGTATCGAGCCATGAAGAGCTGGTATCATATAGACATAGTGGGACCTGCCTCCTGCCTCTATCAACCCCAGACTGCCTTGCCTGTGCCGGTCACTCAGAGGAGGTCAGTCATCCTCCGGAAGCAGTCCTCATGGTTTCCACCCGTCTCCAGAGAGTGAAAACCCCCAAGAGAGCCTCGTTCTAAGATATGCAGAGATGGCCACTTCCTCATCTAAGGACCAAGCCAGCAACAGTAGCTTCTGCCTAGAACCACTTTGGGCGGTGAAGCTACTTTACTTGCCTTCTGGTGGAGGTGCCCCAGCGCAGAGGTCAGGTGTGTCTAGTCTGTGTCACTGACAGTCAGACAAAAGTCCTTGACTGTAAGTAAGCAGCCTTAGCCAGTGAGAGAGAGTGAACTGGTTGCTGAAGTCCTTGAGGACAAAGGACTCTGCCTACTGCCAGTGTGCTCAAGCTCCTGGTGGTGTCCACCAAGGAAGCTCATAATACCCCATCAAATGCACCCTGCTGAGGAAAGAGCTAGGAGGTGGCAGACATCGTGGTTTTGTTGTCCTATCAGCGGGTGCTGGTTTCAGCTGTGACTTGGAGGAACAGGTGACTTGTGCTTTAATTTACACAACACGGAATCACCAGACTGTGCCGAGTTGTGGGCTCCGTGCCCAGAGACACACCCCCCTCCACCTGTTATGTCACCATCGCAGCCCCACCTGGTGTCATGTAAATGTCACATTACCCTTGGCAGGGCTTCTCAAATAGCACCTCGGAAACTTGGCTGTGGGAGGACAAGAAAACCGGACATTGCCTTGGGCCTGCTAACTGCACCGAGTTCTCTGACCGGGGCTGGGCACCTACACACACTCAGACCCCTGGAGGACAGGACCAGCATTCGCACCGGCAAAGACAGCTACTGGCCAAGAGAGACAGGGTCATCCCAGCAAAGCATCCAGGAGCTTTGTGCTGGGCCTTTGGCATGAGGCCATGGAAATAATGGGTAGACACCTGGTGCGACTGGGCGGGCAGGGTCAGAGGGGAGTTCGAAGAAGCTCTCTGTGTAGCTGTGTGTTAATCAACCTGAAGCAGAGTGGAGATTTTGACACATGGCGAGACAGCATGAGAAAACCTGACACACTAAGCAAAGTAAGCCAGTCATGAGAAAACCAAAGGAGTGTAAGACTTGCGCTTGGAAAGACGAAAGACTTAGGGGATGGACGGCCACACAGTGTGAGTGACATACCACTGCCCTGCACACTCTGAGATGCTAAGTTATACACCGTATGAATGCATTAGATACATTTTACTTTTAAATTACATGTGTATATGCATGTGTGTGTGGTTTAAAATGGCAAATTATACATTGGGTGAGTGTTTTCGATGTATGTTATTTTTAATTTTGTGCATATGTGTATGTACATGAGTCTGATCTATGGGACACCTTTGTTTAACAAGGTCACAAGAAGCATGACTCATGAAAGAACAAACGGCTAAACTATTTATCAGAATTTAAAACATAAACCCAACAAAACGAGAGGCCACAAGTGTTGGATCCCTGGAGCTGGAGTTACAGGCAAGGGTGAGCCACCTGCAGTGGACCCTGGGGACAGAACTTGGGTTTTCCACAAAAGCAGTGTCTGCTCAACTGCTGAGCTGCCTTTTGCTCAATTAGAAATTTAAAACTTTTTTTTTTACAACAAATTAGCCTATTTTCTGTGTCCGATGGTTTGGGTTGCTATGACAGAGTCCCACTGGCTAGCTGGCTTCTCCTGACAGCTAGGCCTCCCAGCAGCAGGCTCCTCCCAGCAGCAGGCTCCTCCCAGCAGCAGGCTCCTCCCACACCCACTACCCCTGCTGCAGCACCCACGTGCCAAGCCGCCCCAGTCAGGAGGATGTTGTGGGTTGTTGCATGAACCAGCCAGCTCTTACTGACTTGTCCTCAGCCATGGGAGCCACTCTGACAGGCACACTGGCTGATGGGGAACCCTGAGTTACAGACTGTCTACTCAGAGACCTCACAAAACAGACTGGGAGCCCAGTCTCTGAGGAGCCCGTAGCTGGCCTATTCTTCTCAACCATTGCAGCCTCTAGGTAGGAGTTCATGGTTGTGCAGCTAGCTCTCTTATCCACGGAGCCGTCTCTCCGGCCCTGAGAGTTCTTTCTGTATGGTGGACATAAGCCTTTAGCACACATGTAATTGCAAGTGCCTTCTCCATGCCGTTTGTCTTTTTCAGTTTCCTTTGTGTTTGTGTCTTAAATTCTGACAAAATAAAGTGTATCCACTTGTTCTCTCGTGAGCTATGCCTCTTGGTAGCCCTGTTAAACAAGGGTGTCCCCTATAAGAACTGCAGTGTTTCTTGAGTGGGAGCAGTGTGCAAAGAGTGTGCCAGGCGGGAGGTATGGTGGCAAGCAAGACTAGCACCATTCGTGCTCAGAGGAGGAAACGAGATACATACATAAAAGATCGCCTGCAACACTGGCACCCTGAAGGCTGGGCTCCAGGGTGAGACCCCGTCTCAATAACAAAGGGCTAAGGATGCAGCTCAGTGGGATAGCCCTTGCCGAGAATACACAGGGGTCTGGACTTCACTCCCCGCTCAGAAATAGTAGCCCCACAGCACACTGATTTTCTGATGTTGGAATGTGCAATGTCGCTAGAAGGAAGAGCAAGCAACACCATAGAAAGCAGAGGAAACTTGAAAAGTTGCACAGAGCAATGATAGAGGCAGGAGTGGAGGAGTGAACCAAAATCATTAGAGAGTCTGATTTCTCTAAGCACAGTGCTCTGGTTCTAGAAATTCAAAGAGAAAAGCGGTATGGGAACCTCAGGTACCAAGAGACCCGCCCCAGTCCCACAGCTTTTGCGTGGCTGTTTCCCTTTTGAGGGCCGTGCTCAGTGACCTTATCAGGGTCAGGCTCCATCAGGAGGCAAGGTTAGGCAAGGTTTGAGCCAGGTATAAGTATGTGCAGAAAGGAGAGCATCAATGCAATGGGTCAGGTGGATATGGAAGGGGGCAGGGGGCTTTGCCACTGTGGAGGCCTGCACATCAAGGGCCAAGTACTCCCTCCCTGTGAGACATGACCTAACAGTGGTGCTTACTGCACATCCGGAGCCGGAAGCATCAGGAACCCAGGCATCCCTGGAAAGGAGGGTCCTTGTCTGGGTTTCTGCCAGTTCAGATGTTACCTCTCTCATTTGAAAACCCTAGGAAAAGATCCAGTGGGCTGCTGTCATCTTTAATGACTTCAAACTCCCACATTGCTACTGCATTGAGGGGCAGCAGAAAGTGCTAGGGTTGAGATCTGGGCCACCTTGAAAAGGCAGTACCTATGTCCCCACTAGGAGATCCTCCATTCCCTCCCATAGGGATGGTCCTTCCTTCCCTGCCTCTCCAGGGAGACTGGCACCCATGCATCACTAAGGCCAGGGGTCAGAACTCACAATCCCTTTCATTCTGGGAAGAAGGAGAACAGCTGAGTGCTCAGAATGGCTCTGAGCAGACGTTGCCTGGACACCTTCCCGGCCTCCCTAGCCATCACACTGGCACCTCAGAGCCCAAGGGCTTGGCAGGCTGTGTCAGATGATGTGTCAAGTCAACAGAGCCCCAGGAGAGCCCTGCTCAGAGTCCCGTGGCAGCTGGCTGTGGCCAGCCTCCTGGAAGGGAATACCCAGCCTGGCCACCAGCCATTGCCCAGAGAGAGAACACCGCGGGGGAGCTAGGCAAGAGAACATTAAGCACAAGCTCCATGGTGCCAGCCCTAGCTTTCTCCTGCCTTTTGAGCGTGGCCCTTAAACCAAGAAAGGCTTTAAGTACTGTGGTCTAGACCCCATGTCCCCACGTGCAAGTGTGTTCTAGTTTTCCCAGATTCCTGCACATTTGGAAAACTAGGGCATGCCTCAGTAGCTCAGAGCCCACCTGGAAGCATCTACCACCATCTCACCTGCTCTGAACCCAGACCCTGGATGATGAGGAGACCCAAAGCTACCTTTCTGGAAGAGGTTCAAAATAGAGCCTTCAGGAGATAGTTCAGGGAGCTGGAGAGATGGCTCAGCAGAGGACCCAAGTTTGGTTCCCAGCACCCACATGACAGCTCACAACTGTCCATAAATCCAGTTCCAGGGGATTTGATATTCTCCTCTGGCCTCAACTGGCTCTGCACTCATGTGGTACACAAACACATATGCATGTAACACATTAGTATAAAATTTAAAAACAACTGGATAGGCAGGGATAATTTGGGAAGCCACACAGCTAGAGGCTTCTGTGGTCTGCAGTGGGGAGGAGCCACCATCACTGGTTCTGAATAGAGACACACAACTGAATGACAGAAAGTGCAGAAGCAGCACAAGGTGTGTTGACAGATGTTTCTGTCCTGCCAGGTCCCATAGCTGTTCAGACCCAAAGAAATACACAGAGGTCTACGTTCATTATAAACTGGTTTGCTTATTAGCTCAGGCTTCCTATTAACTCTTATAACTTGTATTAGCCCATAATTCTTGTCTGTGTTAGCCACATGGCTTGGTACCTTTTACCAGCAAAGCAGTCACATCTTGCTTCCTCTATGTCTAGGTGATGACTGCAGACAGAGCTTTCCACTTCCCAGAATTCTCCTGTTCTGGTTGCCCCACCTCTACTTCCTGCCTAGCTACTAGCCAATTAGTGTTTTATTAAACCAATACAACAAACAAATCTTTATAGGGTACAAGATCATTGTCCCACAGCACTTCCCCTTTTTTTCCAAAGCAAAATCTCTGACTCTAATCTCCTTTGTTAGCTTTTTTTCCTGACTATTAGTCATAATAACTTGTAACCAAAACCCTAAACAAAGACAAACATCCATAAACCATTTTTGGGGAATGTGGGCATAGTTTTCTAGGAAAAATATGTAACGCTTCATGAATTTGCGTGTTGTCCTTGCGCAGAGGCCATGCTAATCTTCTCTGCATAATTCCAGTTTTAGTGTATGTGCTGCTTCCCACAGCAAAGGTGTAATTTGTAGCTTTAAAGGCATGCTCTGGGAGCTTCTGGTGGCAGTTCCCAGACAGCTATCACTCTGGCTTTCTGTCAACTCCTGCCCCACTCTCCTGGAAATAGGCTGTTAGTGTTCAAACAGCTCCTGTGGTTTGAACAGTAGGTCTGTAGCTGGGGGCATTATTTGGGAAGATTTGGGAATCTTTAGGATACAGAGCCTGGCTGGTTGGCATGATCAACTTGAAGGTGGCCTTCAGGTCTGTACCCCAGCCCAAGTGTTCTCTTCATAATTGACCAAAAATATGAACAAGTCATACCATAAACTCCACTACCATGGACAGTGCCCCAGGCATGGTACCTTCCTGCCATGATAGGCTAATATCCCCTGAAACTGAGCCAGAAATAAGCCTCTCCTTTCTGACTCTGCTCCCATCAGGGATGTTGTCACAGCTATGCGAAGATTAACAAACAAGATCTACTGAGGTTTCAGGTTTTGTTACTCAGGCTTGCAGAGTGGACACAGCTCCCGCTGGCAACTGGCACAGTGGGAGTCACATATCTGGTAGGAAAGGACCCATGGGCATGTTTGGTGACTCCTTGGCACACACATTCTAGAAACCAAGCTTTAGGGTTGGAAATACCCTGACGTTATTTCAGAAGCAGAATGAGCAAGGAATGTGTGTGCTGGGGTTCATGTGCGACTCCTTACAGTTCCGAGGGTCCAAGGACTCAGTAGATTAAGAACCACTTCTTGGTGCTGGGGGATGCCTCAGCGGATAGAATGATTGCCCGGCCTACACAATCCTGGGTGCAATTCCTAGCACTGCATAAAACCACATGTGGTGGTTCATGGTTGTCATCCCAACACTGGGGAGGTGGAGGCAAAAGAATCAATCCAAGGTCATCTTTGTGTACACAGAGGCTATCATCCTGGGCTACATGAGACTTTCTTTCTCTCTCTCTCTCTCTCTCTCTCTCTCTCTCTCTCTCTCTCTCTCACACACACACACACACACACACACACACACACTAAATGAAAGAGGAAGGGAGGAAGGAAGGATTTCTTTACCAGTTCCTGGGGAGTCGTCCCAGCAACTAAAACTATGACCATATGGCCGATTCCAAACTAGGAATTCCCAAAAAGGCTAGAGATAGAGCACCCTCCTCAGTGCAGTGAGGGAGCACTACCATGGAGTTCCCCACTCAGTCAGGGACTATCTGGAAAGTCCACATTCGGAGGCCTGGTGGCCACTTGACCTTCCTTGATCTTAGTTCCAAGTTCTCCCACAGCACAGCCCTGTTGCTTTGCGACTTAGAGATGCCTGGCTGCACTAAGTAGCCAGCTCTGCTGTGGCCACTGCCCACTGAATTCTGTAAACAAATGCCTCAGGGGAAGTCAAGGTTACGGTGACTTCTCTGGTCCCAGATAGGCTTCCAGTCTCCCTCTAAGAACACATCTGAAGGAGATCCGTGTCACACGTTTGTGATTCCAAGAGTGACCACAATAGGCCCAGCCAGAGCCACAGCCTGGCACAAAGACTCCCACAGCCTTGCCCAGAGCATGCTTCTGCAGGCATCTGCCCAGCAACTGCCTGGCTCGGCTTGGATTGCTGTCATCCTTGGTAGTAACCCTTATTATCAGGATACGGGTACAAAATTACTTATGGTGCCCTCTGCACTTAGCCTTTAAATTTTTTCCCTGGTCTTTGCACATGCATATAATTTAATATAGCTTGTGTCTTCTTGTAAACATTTGCTGGTCCCTGGAATAGGAGGCAGCTTTTTCATTTCCCAGCCACACAGACTCCCGAAAATAATCACAGAGAAACTATATTATTTAAATCATTGCTTGGCCTATTAGCTCTAGCTTCTTATTGGCTAGCTCTTACATCCTAAACTAACCCATCTCCATTAATCTGTGTATTGCCATGCAGCTGGTTCCTCATGTCTGTCTCTGGCTGAGGCTACACGGCATCTCCCTGACTCTGCCTTCTTTCTCCCAGCATTCAGCACGGGCCAAGGCAGCTTCTTTATTCATTAACCAATAAAAAGCAACACATATACAGAAGGACTTCCCACACCAAGTCCCTATAAATGTATCATTCTCTGGAGAACCTCCGTCCTTTTCTGTTTGGACTGACAGTGGTTGTGACATCTGTGTGTGAAAGCTCTGCTGGCACAGGAGAGCTGCACCTAAGCGGTCATGGGACTGGCCTGGGCTCTGGGCTGAAGCTTCACCTCTGAGCCTGGGTCTCCTCCATCCAAAAGGAGATGATGGGAATGGGCTCAGTGGGTGAAGGCACAGCAAGCCTAACCTAATGACCTGAGTTTGATCCCTAGGACTAGACGTGTGTGGTGGATAAGCAGTTCCTGAAGTTATTCTCTGACCTTCACACAAGCACTGTGGCATACATTAACATGTGTACACACACAAGTAAATGTGATTACTATTTAAGTAGATGAAAATAATAAGCTTGAAAAATAGCTCAGTTGATAAAGTTAGTTCAGTTCCCAAATTCCACATTTAAAAAAAAAGCCAGATGCACTAGTTCCTATTTATAATTTTAGTGCAGGAGAAAAGGAGACATGGGCAGATCCCTGAGGTTATCTGCCATCCAACCTGACCTAATGGAACCCCAGGTCACTGAGAGAGCCTGTCTCAAAAAAAAAAAGTTCATAGCCCTTGAACAATGACAATTGAGGGTATTCTCGGGTCTTCATATGCACACATGTACATGTATACACCATGCATGTACATATTACATGCATGCACATATGCAGTACACCAAATAAATAAAGCAAGTGTTGGGGCAAGTGTGCTCTCCAGGCATTGCTGATTCTAACCCCCCTTGGTCCTCTTATTTTGTCATCCATATTTTGTCACATACACACCCCCAAATGACACCTGTCCCCTTTGTGATTCCACAGATGTTCTGATATCTCCAGCATCCTATAACATCCCTGAGAAAGTCACACATGGACGTAAAGAGCAAAAAATATTAGACAAAACCTAGGTGTTCTTTTTCCACTGGGCTTCTTGGAGTCTGAAACATACCAGCAACCTTTGAGCCTCTGGGTCTGGAAGGAAGGCTTTGTGAAGAGAGCTGGTCTTACCTACCATGGGCCTTCACTTTGGAGGAGATGCTACCTTGAAGTGCCCCACCTAAGCCTGCTCATCAGTGTTCAGCATCTTCCATTCCCATCTAGAGCACGTTGAGGGTTGTGTTCTGTGTCATCTTTGTCACACTTTTGTCTTAACATTAAAATGTAAACACTTCCAGGGAGAACGATGGAGCAACGAGTAGCAGTTATGCACACATGGTCCTTGTCAGAGAGGACCCAGATCCAAGCCATGGTCCTTGTTCTTCATAGTGTTGGGATGTGATTAGCCAAGGGAAGCAGGGACTTCAGTGAAGTAGATACAAGAGATGGCCTGTGTCTTACCATGTGGTCCCAACTGCGGAGCTTGGATTCTCACAAGGAGAAGAGGGTCTACAAGAATCATCAAGGGAGAAAAGGGACAGAATCAGGGTAGAGCACTGGTCCTGATAGTGAGGTCCAAGGATCCTTGCAGTCACTAAGAGTCATTCTCAGACTCTGATGGTTTCTCTATTCTGCCTCTCTGAGGCTATTATATAATGTGTGTATGTGTGTGTGTGTGTGTGTATTACATTGAGAACACATATAATATACAATGGTATATATTAATAACATGTTATATGTTTTATATTACTAGTAATATATGTATTTCATCTAAGACCACATATTGAATAGGCTGAATGAAAAAGCAGATCATAAATCTAACATTTTCTCTTGACCCATATATTAAAGACATTTATAATACCTAAAGATATATAGTACTCCTTTCCCTTTTTGTTTTATTTTAAATATATATTAGTGAGAAATTAATATCTATAGTTCTAAAAACTGACTGAGGATGCCAAGGAGCTGTTGTTTATATGGTCGTAAGTATCTCTATTCATTATATTAGAAACTAAAACCAAGGGGCTGTAAAAATACTGATTCATTTACAAATGGCAAAACATAATTTTAAACAACGTATTTGTAGAGAGTGTAAAGGGTTCCAAAGTCAATGTTTTGCCTGACACAGTGGCAGCAGGCACAGGCTCCTCCCAGAGTCTGGAGCCAGGGACTAGGACAGGTGGAAGGGACCATGATCACTCTGGAGTGCGTCCCACCAAGGCAGGTGATGGCGAAGTGGCCTAGAAAAGTGACCTAGCGACTCAAATTGTAGGTCAAAGAGAGAGAGAATAAAATGACAGAACTGACTTGTGGGAAAACATCACGTGGAAAATACCACTGGGGAAAGAGGGTCTGCTAGCCCAAAAGTCACCTTGACATAGTACTTACCCAGGAACAAACGTAATGGAGCAAACTAAAGCACAGAACTGGGCTTGGTTTTTGGTGTTTGGTTGTTTGGGGATTGGCCAGTTGGTTGGTCTTGGAGACAAGGCCTCACGTATCTCAGTCTGGCCTCAAGCTTGGTTTGATAGTGGAAGATAACCTTGAACTTCTGGCCCTCTTGCCTCCTTCTCTCAAGTGCTAAGATCACGGGCGTGTACCACCATGCCCGGTTTATTTGGTTCTAGGGATAAAACCAGTACCTCGTTTAAAACAGCAACAGAAGCCAGACCAAGTTGCAAAAGCCTATAATCCTGTTACCCCAAAAGTTAAGGTAGGAGGAGGGCAAGTTCAGCTTCAGCCTGGACCACAGTTCAAGGCCAACCTTGGACAAATTAGTGAGACCCTGTCTCAAAATAAAAACTAAAAAGGGGGCTGAGAATATGGCTCAGTGGTAGAGTGCTTGCCTTGCATGCGCAAGGCCATAGGTTCAAATCCCAGTACTGCAAATGAATTAATTAAAAGTCACGGCAGAGCCCTCCCAGAGGGAAGACACGCTAAGCAAATAGTCCCTGGGCAGCTGCTTCTGCAGCTTCCAGACTCCAGTGTCATAAACACTGACTGTGACTCCTATAGGGTCTAGTGGTCTGT